GCTAAGCGCTAGTCGCTAGTACTTAGTAATATGTACATGACTCTTGTGTTTACAAATGAGTAAGGACCCGATTGTTAGTAATACTTATGAGGGCTACATTTCAAGGTTAGTAACCTTACATGACCTAAGCTACTGTGAGAACTCGTATCTCAAGACATTTTTCAGGGTTTTGGTCACAGATAGTGTTGCCCAAAACCGCCAAACTGTTGCAAGACCAAGACCAAGAAAGCCAAAAAAAAAAATATTTTTGTGAATAAAAATCAAGGAAAAATAGTTACTAAAACTAGACAATTTTAGTCACTACATGTAAAAAATTATAAGAACCAATATAGTTTTGCAATTAACTCTTGCAATTAACAGCTTTTCATTCGGGCTTAGTTAGGTTTCCTCCATTTGAAAAATTAAAGTAATATCTCTATTGTAATAAACTAATAGCTAACTGCAGGACTGTATCGTGACTCTTGCGCTAGACCAAGACCAAGACTCTTGTTCTCGCATTTGGGCAACACTAGTCTCAGAAGTTTTGAGGGTTTTTTTTCTGTTGTAAAACCCATCTTTTAACTGTTTATCTTAACATGTGCTTCCTACGTCTATCTCTCGAACATCTACTCCGAATAGTTTCTAATGATTTATCTTCATTTTAGCTGTTCCCATATTTATTGAAATAAAATTTCCAAATGTTTTTTTTTTTTTTTTAATCATCGTTTCTCTGTAACCATCGAACGTACACAGATCTATCAGGGCTCAAATCGAAGATGGCAAAATACACTTCAAAATGCTTAGTTGGTACTTGGTACTTGAAAAATGGAAATTTTGACATATATCTACGGATGCGGCGCTCCTTTCAACTGTGGCTGGCTACGTCTTTTTGCATCTGGATGGTGCTTAGTTTCAAATCATTCTCAAAATCTGCAATTTTTATACATTTGGACCTTCCTTTCTAATAGGCGCCATTTAGAAACACCTTGGCTTTGACCTCGCAGACTGGTAAAAATTGAATGTTGAGGATGGGTTTAATAATGGTGTATGAATAAATTTGTTCTTCAAATAAGTTGCAAATTTTCTCTTGCTAGTTCTTGGATCAATTGGACTACCTTACGGTTCTGTTCATTATCCAAACTAGTTACTTTACTTGTACTTACTAAAAATTAGCGTGGGATTCTCCACTCTTGTGGGTTCGAGTCGCATTTCTTTGATTCCACAAGAATAATTAAATATTTAAATATATCTGGCCTCCTCCATCCGAGTATGTGACACTCCTCAGCCTACAGGAGACAATTTGCACAAACCAGGCGATGGAGTGATGACCATAGTCATTAATCGTGATGCAATTTCCCAGAGCTTTGGTCCATTTACGGTGTCTATGCAGGGAAATTAAATGTTCTGAAGTAAATAAACACTTGTAAACCCGGACAAAAAATTTGTCTTGAATTTTAATGTCTTATGCCTCAATGCTCCTTACTTTGTCACAGATAAAATCATCCATAACGACCTTAATGTACCACATGCTTCCAATTTGCCCCAATCGATATAGCTATATTTCTATAATAAACTCAAGAACGATCTCGACCCTCTCGTTTAAATCTTGCTTCTTCTTCGATTCCTGATCCTGAACCCTTCGAGGCGTCTAAAAAGAAGATGACCTCGTAATCTCTAGTAATATTGTTAGAGTGTTAGCAGTGGGTAGTTTCTCAACAAGCGTTTTCATGTCATATGCGTGCACATTTACTAGATATATTTTTATTTTAATACAGTTGTAAATATCATTAATAAATACATTTTAAAAAATAGTATGTAGTTTCCTGTACACATTCGGTAATCGGAACGTCCTTCTCAATAATTAATTTAGTGTAATTTGTGTTAATTAGTTGGCCAATGTGAATAATTCACAAATAATATTGGTCAGTGAACAAATGACAAAATAATAAGAAAAATAAATAATTCAACGTATTATAAGATGAAGAAATTATTTCCTATTTTTGTTTCAGTAATTCTAATTGACCAAGGAAAAGAAAATTATTATAAAACTTCATTTATATTTTAAACAAAAATGTTTACGAATTACAATAACCTGGATCTCAACTAATAATGGTCCTCATTCAATGATTTCATTTCGGGGGGGGAATTGAATGTATAATCTCAAAAAGTCCAGGATATAATCAACAAAAAGATATTTTTCGATTGTACTATGGAAATTTGTACTGTATTGAGGGTTTTTTCGAGATGCGAAATACAAATCTCAACTCTATTTCTCTTTGAAAAAATGAAAAATAATACCTATTGACTTTCCATCATTTCGAATCCAAACGGTGGGATCCATTGCTCATCCTTATGTCATATCCTCATCTCAGCATATTGTTTCTCCTGCATTATTCCTTTGAAAGCCCGGAGCTGGTATTGACGACCTAGGATCGGTTCCCGCCTAGGGAGGGCAGAATATGCAATTAGCAGTGTAGAGCAAACAGTGGTTCCCTCTCAGCGCTATATCCGTCAATATCCTACGTCCCATTTCTCTTCAGGTTAACCTCTCTAATTAATTCCCCTCTGTGCACCATTTTTATTTGGAAAACGTAGATTTTAATAAAAATACCTCTAAATATTTATTTGATAAATTTTAGTTCCTATCATAATAATATGTAGTTGCATTAATAAAATAAAACCTTTAGTTTTTTAAAAATGGCTGACAACAGTAAAACTTCAATGTACTAATATAAGTCATTATCGAATAAAATAAAATAGTTCTCTTTTACCTTACGGCTAAAAATGTTCTTTACCTTATCGTTTCTCTTTTTTTTTTTTTCTAATGTGGTAAATTATATATTTAATGCTTATTCATTAACTTATTCTATGCATCGAGCAAACGCAGATGAAACCGATATTTTATGCGAGTAGTTAAAAGAGCAAAAAATTCTGGTTAATGTGCTTTTCTTGACGACGTTGTTTTGCATAAGAAACGAGCTGGTAATAATGACGATGCTATTTGGAAGATTGTCAAGATAGTTCCTGAGCATCTAGGACTGCCCCCCCAGGAATTGATTCTTATCTCGGGAATGGGTCACGTTACTGAGAATAGAGACATTTGCTAGATGTGATATTATACCTGACCTATTTCTGACTATATTCATATTTCATATAAAATATAAGACATGTCAGACTTGAGTAATTTTCTTTAAAACTTTAACCACTGCTATTATTATTATTTTAAATAATTAATGAGTGCCCTAGAACACAGTTATAATTGAAACCTAAGGTAAAATATTGGATATATGTGAGTGTATCTAATTTGCACTCATTCATGGTCCACATTCGTCAAATCAATTAATTCGTTTCTCAGCATTATTGCTTAACTTCTATGAGAGACATTATTTTGCGAGTATTCTATGTACAGTCAATTTACTTTCGGGTTTCCTTCCAAAATTATGTTTACTTTGCATTCATTATCGAGTGGACTCTGTAAGTAAGGTCTCTTTAAATCCCATTGCAGCGATGTACAGAGTCCATTTCCTTACTTGCAGGACTTCACCTTAAACCTTACTTACATTGTTATTGTTATTACTTTTTTACATTACACTGGACCTTACTTTCATTGCAGAACCTTGGTCTCATCAATAATACTCTCCACTCGAACCTTTCCTCGGCTGACTTTTTTCATCCCTCATCATCCAAAGACCGAAGATCATCCATATTTTGCATCCAGCGAAGTCTAAGCTTACCTCTCTTTTTTTCTTTTACCCGGATGGCCTTTCATCATCATTTTAATGAGCTTACCACTTTACATTCTGTTTATATTTCCACCCATTTTGTTCTATCCTTCTTTATGATGTGTACATGGTGTTTGATATAAGTTCCTTAGTTCATTCTTTCAATTTTTTTTCTTATCATGTTTAACAGCATATCGTCATGAAATGTCTACACTTCCGTTTATAAACAATTGATCGAAGAACCTCCCGTTAGGACTCTTGTTTTGAGAATTACAATACAAGGCTACATTAAGGAACAATAACACCTGTTACCACTTGTTATCTTTGCCTTGTTTTTTTATTTAATATTATTATCCTCAGTGGTGTTAGTGTTCTATTTAGACTGTGAGCACAACAAATATTGTGTGTTATGATGAGGTTCAACTCAGGATTTGGTATATTCTCCTGTACTATAAACCTCCTTTATATTATGGAAACCTAATCATTCCTTGAGTTGATGGGATAAAACCTGTGATTGAGTATGTTTGCTGATCACATCGCCTTGTACAACAAGGAAGGTGTTTCCTTATATGTAATAAACTATCACTTCTCATTATTTATAGTGCTGGTAAGTCTTTACCCGCATATCCCTAGCAACATATTTTAGAGATTAATTGAATCTATTAATTCCGAAACGACAGGTGTAATTTTTACCTGTTTTGGTTTATATCTTTGAAAGTTTTGGATTAAAATATTTATTATGTTTTTTTTTAATCATGAAACTGTGTCGTTTTTAAAATATTCGTTTCAATTAAGTAATAGATTTTAAAAAAAAAAGATTAGTTGTATAAATAATCGAATTTTGTTGTCAATAAGTGATAGTTATAATTATTTGAGAAGAAATTTATCACTTATAATATTCTTATCTCCACTTTTTTTTTTTTACATTTTATACTCTTTTATTGTGTTATAATTATTTTCAAAAAATTACGTTTTCTTTACATCGTAATGACAATTTTTCTTTATTCTTTTTTATTTGCACTGAGATGTCTTCTATAGTCGAAATGTAATTTGAAAAAAAAAAAGTTGAGGATATTTGCTTTTACTCATTTTAAAAGAACAGCTTAAATTTAGAAATTTATGAAAAACAATTATTTTTTAAATTATGCTCTTCTTTTTGATAAACTGATGGTTCATCAAATGCTTCCGCTAATATTTCTTTACAGGTTGCTAAGTCCATATATTCCTTTTTTAATCCTACAAATGTTTTATTCATTTCACTAACTGTTCATAAATTATTTATAATAATATTTTTTTTTTCAGACGGAACTATCACAGAATCTGCAACAGCTATCGGAGAAGGCCCGATCTACGACAGAATTCATCCAGAGGCTCAAGAGCATGACAGAAAAAATTGGGGTAAGTAGCTTTTGTTTACTAATAACTAATTATAATTTGTTATATATTAAAGAAATTGAATAAATAAATAAAAGTGCAAAACAAATACACGAAACCTTTATCAAATATTTCTTTAATTTTTGTGACCAGAATCTTATTTTTTAATCTTTAAAGTGATTAAAGATTAGTTTTTGTCTTAATTAGTTTGCTACAGAACAAATCGCCGATTTGAACCTTGTTTGCACTTAATTTTGCATCAAACAACCTTAATCTTTATGACAGATGATAATAATATCGGGACGCGATACGTTACTGATAAAAAGTTAACTGGTATTGATGTTACCATTATCTGTTTTTAAAACCGTATGATAGGGTTTGGAGGTGAATTAAAATCCCACAATGTTGTATAAAGTAGAAAATTAATAAATCCGTTGTAATTTTTATCAGATGGTCAGGATTAATTATTGTTTTTTAAATTATTTATATATTTTTTATTTCCTTATACAAACAAGGTTGGCTTAAGCAGTTGAAGGGTTTATTACACTATGTGAAATAATACAGTTTTTTCATTTGAAAATATCTATTGGTATAACGTGACAACATTCAGAGGGAAAATTCGTAAAATATAATTTGTACACAATTTTGTAATATAAAATTTATAACATTGAATTGGTCCATAATAAAAATGAAATTGTATTAATTCCTTAAACAATTTAATATGGATATTTGTTATTTATTTTTATTTTTTGTGAGATCATGGACATAGCCAAGGAAGGGGGGAGGGTAAGAAAGTCATTTTATATAACAATTAAATCAAATTTAATAAACAATATAAATGAGTGTCTATCCTGATTGTTTTTCAACCTTCTTTATTGAGGGCGGGTAACGCGTGTGCATTGCACCGCTAATTTATACTAACCGAATTTCGTGATGGAAAAATAATTACGAGTTCAAATCACGGCGCCCGGTGGGACTTTTAACTCCGCAAGGAAGGGGAGAACAAAAAATACCTTGATTGTTAATTAATTATATTAAAATCTATTTTTTTATTTATTTAACTATTTGGAAATAATTAATAGGGGTCGTTATGTCTCTTCCTTCCCTTTGTGTTATGTATTTGTCTCGTGATCTGTAAAAAAAAAAATAAAAAAAATAACGAAATGCAAATCGGTAGGTAGTGTTATCCAAAATCTGTTTTGGTCTGGTACTTTGCAAGACCAAGACCAAGATTCTTAAAAAATAAAAAATCGATTTTTTGAATAAAAATTAAGGCAAAATAGGTACTAATGCTTGATAATTTTAATTACTATACGTAAAGAATTGGTATAACCAATATACTTTTGCATTTAACTCTTCTAATTTTTCATTCGGGCTTAGTTAGGTTTCCTCTATCTAAAAAAATACAGTAATATCTCTATTGTATTAAGCTAATAGGTAACTGCAAGACCGTTGTAAGACTCGTCTCGGTTTCACATTTGGACAACATTAAAAATTGGAAAGTACGTAAATTAGGAATAGGAGGTAAAAATTGATCAATGAGAGAAAACTTGAAAATAAATAAATAAAGATTCTATTATTATGGAATTGTAGAGATATAAAATTGATATCAGTTATATATGTATACGATGTAATATAGTTGAACAATACTGTTGATATGAGGTGTGGTTTATTTTATTAAATGACTAGTAATGAAAAACAGTTCAAAGAGATTCGCATCTTACCATTTCACGGTTGATCCTCAGGCTCGCAAGAGTGGTAGATAAGATAGTAACCGCGAGGCTCCATTTTACAACCTTTATCTCTATTCACGACTCCCCCTCAAGTAAAACGGATATGGAGTCATAAACTGATTCGATGGGAGATCTGATTTAGCTCTTTTAAAATCGGGAAGGAGAGATACCGCATTTAAGATTTACATTCCAACAGCTCTTTCCAAGAATAAGGAAAAAAGTTAAAGGAAAATTCTCGCCTCACAAAAGTTTATGGACCAATTTATTACCGATCTAATGACTGGGAAACTTGTAAGTTATATCTCTAACAACCTAAAGGTTCGAAACCCGCTAAGTATTCTTCAAATGTTTATCACTACAACGTGATCTTCAAATCATGCGAGCAGGACTAAATTTTTAATGGAATGAAGGAGATACGGATTAGCCTTCATTACTGGAATTAACTAAGGAATGGCTGGTATACACTGATATTTACCGGAATGGTGACTGATTGAGCGAGACCGTTTTCTCTATTGAAAATCGGGCTCTCTTAAATATTAAAAATATTATTTCTAAATCTGATACTGTTAATAAAAGTACATATCCTGAAATAAATAAATTACCATCCATTTTCTCCCTCACCATTTCGTTTCTGAGATTAATTAAGTATATAATTTAAAATTTATTTTATTAGTCATTATAAATGCATGTTTATAAAGTGGGGCTTATAAAGTTTTGACAGCGGTATACATCACGCAGCGATGGAATCAGACAATGCCCCAGTCCCCACTAAACCTCCAAGACGTACTTAAAGATTTTAGCTAAATATAAACCTTTTTTTGTTATTTAAAAAGGTCAATTTCAATCTTACGTTTTTTATCATTTTAAATCTACCGAAGCTCAAATTTGCTCTATTTTTATTTCAATTAATGTACCCAACTGTGGATATTTCTAACATAATGCATTGTGGAAATGTTTTGTTCAATAATAATAATATTATTATAATATGATCATGCTTTTTAAATTGTATGGATCTTTGTCTTCAGGGTTTAAAATTTTTATTATCTATAATTTTATTAAGTTTATGTAATATAATAGTACTGTTAAATAATCTTTCAAGTTTTATTGTTTAGTTACCAATTTTGACTGCCCTGAACAACACTAATGGATTTCAGAATATTTTTCTTATTCCTTGTTGTTAATATGACAAATATCTACAGACACGATCATAGACATTGCATCACCCAGTTAAAAATTAATTCTAGTTACCATATTGCTATCTGCAAGATTTCCGGATATTTCTTTGCCAGTTTTGAAACGATATTCTAAAAACAAGCGTTCTAATTATTCGTTCGTTTTTTTTTTTCTTCTCCCAGTATTTACTTTTGCTCCATGGTGCCTTTTTTTTTCTCTCTCTCTCTAAACTATGACTACCATTGGTACTTCTCGTCTTTTTTCTGTTAAAATTCCTTTACCTCATGTAAAGTCACAATTTTAATGTTTTTTGTTGGGAACAGTTTTTGATACAGGTCATAATTATAGCTTATATCCTGACATTAGTTAAAACTGAACTGAGGAACATTGTTAAAGTTTTCTTGTAATCTTAATAAAAATTAACTTGTTTATTGAAAAATATTACAAACTGTTTCAAAGGACGATTTAAAAAGCATGATCATATTATGATAATATTATTATTATTGAACAAAACATTTCCACAATGCATAATGTGTTAGAAATATCCACAACTAGGTATACTAATTGAAATAAAAATAGAGCAAATTTGAGCTTCAGTTGATTTAAAGTGATAAAAAAAACGTAAGACTGAAATTGCACTTTTCAAATAACAAAAAAAAATGTATATATTTAGCTAAAAACTTTAAGTACGTCTTGGATAGTGTTCAGAGATCACATACACACTCTATGTATAATAAATAAAGTAAATTATACAGAAAAATAATATATTATACAATAAATAAGAAAAAAATAACCTAAAAATAAATAAATAAAAAAGAACTCATACCTACTATTTACAATCAGGCGAGAGAACTCTGAGCCAGGACTTGTTCCTCCAAACGTGGAGGGAAAAGCATGACTCCAGGAGATCAAGGTAACCTTAATAAGGTTAAGATAAACAAAAACATTTAATGGAATCAGTGTTATCAACATAGGTAATGCAATTCCTACGAACGCGACTGTATAATTATTTATATTAATTGAACGAATAAAGTTGTAGCCTGTTGCTATCATTGGAAGTGGACCAATACGTCGATGGCCACTATAAACTAAGACCAATTTAATTAGAGCTAAGTGTGGTGGCTATTTCACCGAATTCACGCCCAAGCTATCGATCATTCTTCGCAGGCACGCAATCTTCTTGATGGCCGTCCGTCGTTCTTCTGTCATCAATAGTCTTCATTAAATTGGTCTTAGTTGTTGGAATAAGTAATTTTCTTAACTTCAAAGCTAAGTCCTAGATACTTCACTAAGTAAATTTTGACGGCATTAAAGTAAAAATATTATAAATATATCATAAAAACAAAAATTATGTTTACACATGGTTTGTCTAACAACTCGTATTTCTTGAAAATATAATAAAGATACTCTACTAATGTCTGTCTGATATTTTATATACAAGATTGGAGAGCATCTTTTTGGGATGTAGGAAGCCAATTGAATAAGAGGAATCCAAACGGAGAAACGGAATGAGCATGGTGGATGAAGAGGGAATTCCATGAAGCAGTAGAGCGGGCAAGAAAGGAACATTCAAAGGATTTAGTTCAGTGGGAAGAGGTATAGAGGTCAGAAATACGATATCTTGAGCACTCCACATAAACGCTCAGTCTAAAATGAATACTTTTATGAAACTCATTAAAAAAAAAAGGACTGCCTTCAGCCAATTTGATTGAAAAGACTATTATAAAACAATAACGTTATTGTAAATTTCACTGGTGCCGTTATTTCCTTTACTCACTCGATGCTCAATCGACACTTACTACACTTTCCCGCCAATGCTTATGAGAAGAAGAAACATCATGTTGGTTCTGCAATCAAATTACCTCAAAGGAGTCTTTTTTCGTTGAGTTTTATAAAGGTATTCTTTTTTACAGGGAGTTAAAGTGGAGTAAAAGTAACCGCTATTTTTTATTTATTTTCAAATCTTCCCTGCCTTTAGAGAATACGGCTGTTTGCACCAGTGGGATGTTATTGTTACATAATAACCCACTACTGGAATTAAACTAATACATTTCTCTTCTAATTATTCTGGCTGTCTTTCCGGTACAGCTTCTTTTCTTCTTCTCACAGTATAGTGGG